CACGAGATAACTTGGAGGAAAGTTTTAACGACAATATATATGTCTCTGCAAGCTTTGTGTAACTGTAGTTATCCGATAAGTTGTATTTCTCGTTTCAGTCAATTCCAGGGGGCCTTAACGATGCTCACCTTGAGAATGGAAAAAGGTCCCATGGACAAAGACGGAAAAAAGATTCCCTTCCGAGTTATGACTACCTTTTGTTTGGGACAGAGGTTTACAAGGATGCCTGGCAAGTTTGCGAGCGCTTAATATCGGGATAAGTATTCCCCGTTAACGGTTAGAAGCGATTTTCCTCCCCAATAAAAGACCTCTCACACATTCTCAGGCTAGTTTAAATTCTGTCACGCGAATCGGGCATGTAATTCGACCATTGACCACGGTAGTGGCATAAACGGAGAATTTTAGGTACCTTGGTGAATAAAACGGTAACACACCGTTCGCATAATCGAGTCCTTTTCCACAAATTCGCTAATAACGCGTAATCAGAGTAACTTTGACGATGATAAATCACACGTGATTAGACCCAGTAAACCAGACTCGAATGAGGTCACATATTTTTATCACGTCCGTCTGGCATATTTCAAAACGTATTTCATAATTTACGAAATGATATTTCGTCTTGTTAATTTCGAAAACGCGCACTCGTTTATCGAACCAACGTAAACAAAGTAAGCCGGACACGAAAATCTCTGTAAGCGATAATTTTACGAAGGGCAGGTAAAGTTTGACACCGGTGTATTCTTCCCTTGGTAAGAAAATCCTTATAACAAACAAAAAATGGCCACGACCTATAAAAAAGTCACTTCCGTGCCTGCGAACGTGGGATCCGTCCCCCATCGTGAAGGTAAACAAAACGCACTCCAAAAGCTTTGGTCGCTTATTTTAGAAACAGCCTGTAGAGCGTCGCTTCTCTCTGCAGCCCGTGGACAATCGACGTAACCACTCTCTCGTGCCTTTTACCGCACTTGTACGGATCCCGGACGAAGTGTAACGATGCCGAGAGATCGATAATAACCGCCGCGGTTTGGTTCCACCCGAGCCTCGTACGAGACAGGGACACTTTTTTCCGCCCCCCTCGCCGCGATCCGCTATCTCTCTCTTTATCTGCCCAGCTTTCGTCATCTCTCCTCTCGTTTCTCCTCGTGGCGATTTCACGCTTTAATTACGCGACAAAAAATGAC